TGAAGTCGGGGCTGGGCCATTCTTAATCGGAAGATTATCTTCCAAATTCAGCACAATGAGCAGTTTCGCGTTTCCAATGGCCAGGGGTTTAGAGGAGGCAGTGCAGAGAGCTCGAGAGGTGGGCGAGTGGCACAGTCACAGTCTTGTGAGAACCGTCGCTTGTCTGCGATCTGAGTGGGATGAAAATCCCTTGACCAGCAGCCGTCACAGTGACGGCCAACGGCGTCGCTTCTGACCATCATGTAAAAAACTGGCGGAAACGATCATTGAGCAAGTTGCATCTTATTTATACAGCATTGCTTTTTGAAAACGGATTGTGCATCATCCAGGGGGGTCTTATTAATTTCCAGGATTCACGTGTTTAGATGTCACAAATCCAGATGTACAAAAGATCGCTTTGTGATCTATCAGCTGCAGGATGCATATGAACATCTGTAGTGAGCTTTTCCAAGTATTTTCAAATGAGTCACAGATCAGTTATTTTGACAAATTTTGGTTTCAACATGAAGACATTCTTACTCTAGGATTCAAACACCTCCAGATGTCAATGACACCCAAACCCACACACAACTTTACCAGTTCACTTGATTATCCACTAGAGTTTACCCAATGGGCCACCTGTCTAAAATAACATCACGCACAGCATTAAACCTCCTCCTAGAATTAGTTTTGTTTCTGACAATCTAAGGCTTGTTTTACATTAACTTCTGATTCCTGAAAAAATGTCTGGTTTGCAATCTACTGCAATCTACTACTTGTAGCATTTACATGAACAATTATATATTGTTTATCAATATCAACTGTTTATCCATCTGCATTTCTCTTTGTTCGGAGGTGTATCATTACTGTGAAGAATGCTGTCTGAATTGGCATGGGAAAGACGGATATCAGCTCCTCGTTGATTCCTCCAGAAATTAACATGTGAATGACTTGCATGTGTGTCTTGTATAAAGACACTTATTGCTGGAGCTTGAACGAAATCGAGGAGTTTTCCATCAGAGGCCGGAGTGCAGATGCATGGTGCATGTGCCTGCAGCCCCATTCTCGTCCTCCCTAACCTGCAATCATCTTCCCTGATTCACAGCTTTTTTCTACCTTTGTTTTTCTATTTCTTTAGAGAATTCCTGAGCAGTGCTTTAAAATTGAAGGGAAAAATTAATTAAATTTAAATGAAAATGTCCCACTTCTAAATTTTGGCAAAAATCAAAACAAAAGCAGCAGAAATAATAAGAGATCACTTTATTAGCCATATACAATTTGTCTTTTCGCAGACCCCAGCTTGCTCTCCATGAGACACACAGACAGGTAGAGAAGCTTGGGGTCAGAGCACAGGGTCAGCCATTTATACAGCACCCCTGGAGCAGTTGGGGTTCAGGGCCTTGCTCAGGAGCCCAGTGGAGTAGGATTCCTCTGCCGGCCGTGGGATTCGAGCCGGCAACCTTCCAGTCACAGGCGCAGATCCTGAGCCACAGAGCCACCGCTCCGCGTAATATTTTTATATTGCATTACATTAAATTAGTCTGTGATGCACGAGTGAGTAAAACTACCTGCTCATTCTAATCAGCACGTTTGCCTGTACGTGGGTCTGTCCTGTCATTCTGTGTGGCTCTCAGGCGGCACTGTAATAAATATTCACTGGGTATGAGAGCTACACAAGTAAATCTCCCCAGAGTCTCCCCAGCCCGTTGTTAACTGGCATAATTGCTGCTTAAAGAAATTCATATCAGCTAATCGATCTGAGGATCTCATTCTGCTGCTTTTTCAAAGAAGCCAAGTTGGCAGATTCCACTACCTGGCTGGGCAGC